ACACACACATGGACAATGTATGGCTTATATACACACTGTCTGCTTCCTGTTGATTTGGCACCGCATAAACACACCTGCCGGCATTTGGAGCAAAACGCGAAATAGTGAAAGAAATGTGATGGATGTAGTGTAAGTGGAGAGATGAAATCAGACAACCATTTCGCTCCGATGCGTAGATTGCGTGATTTACCTGCATATTGTATGGAAACGTATAACGCAGTGCATGACTTATATTTCATAAGGGGGCAACTGTGAAACACGGCAAAATTCAGTGGCTTAAGGCTTGCCATCTCAACCAATTTTATCACATAAACACTGAAAACACGAAATTCAAAGCAAGTGCATGAGCTGCATAATGCAACCACAGAAGACAAACACCTGGATGATCACAAAAACGCATTCAGCCTCATCTCCGCATCGCATTCTTGACGTTTTATTAGCGAGGTGAGGAAGACAAGTAGGTTGTCATGCCTTGCACGCGCTGTCAATAAACGAAATTGCAGTTGACAGGTCACGAATTTTGTGGTTTATAAATATAATCCACAATAATACGTGTTTCTTGGTATGTAAAATATATGCATCTACGACCATCACACTAACAAGTATTTGACCGGTGATTTGTGGCAGTTCGAAGCAATTTGCTTATTTGAAGCCGCTTCAGGTATAAAGCGGACTCTGTGAATGATCAAGGGAAAAGATTTGCTGTGAGGATAGTCAGGTGGAATATTTACTCCACGTAGTTGGAAGTCAAGTTTCTGTCTACGAGTAGGTGTAAGGATAACAAACCTCAGAGAAGCGGCATAATCGCACTGCCATTGCCAAGTATGCCTGGTGGAGCGATCTAATGTGTTCACGAATTTTTGGGGCATGAGTTAATACACGTAGACCATACCATCCTGCATTTCAGACCTCCAGCACTTCCTGAAACGAATTATTGTCGATAAGGAGACAAACAAAGGAGGATAAACAAGGAGAGCGTTGGCTATTGATGGGGTGTGCCTGTGCGGAAATGCGGATTATTTGATGAACAATGGGGTGCGAATGTGGGTGTCGGGAAGAGGAGGAGGGGGAATGTGTGGAAGGAGGGTACAACCTCTACATCAGTTGTGTGTGGTTTAGACGTACACCGTATCAATCACAGATTACGAAGCATGAGAGGCAGTTTCACCACTTAGCGGCCACAATTACCGTCATCACTCTTCCTCAATTATTTCCTACTCTGGGAAAGTGATTTACCTTTGTGTTCTGATGAGAGCTGGAGCCGCAAGACCGAAAGTGAATGCTACCAACTTCCGCTCTTGATGTGGATAATTCGGTCAGGGTTATGAACGATGAAGCCAGCAAAGGCATACAATGGCGATTCCATAAAATTCTACGTGTGACTTGAAAACAATATATGACACGCTTGTCAGGCTTTCGACCACAATTTGCTCAAAGTACAAATCATTTTGAATTTATGGAGGACCTGGAGTGCTGTGGATGCATTTTCATTCTTGAATTAAAATGGAATATAGTGGAGGTGAAAAGTGTTGAGAAATGTTGTTCCATGAAGTAAAGGAGGCGGAGATGTCTTGCTACTTCCACTTTATTAGTGGTGTCCTCTAACATTCGTAATGGTCCAAAGTCATGCTGAAAGTTAATTAATGTGTGTAAATTTATTCCGAAATTCATTTCCTACTTGTTAAGTGCTAAAATGGGGAGTTTTAAAGCAAAGGGTGGATCCGTGAGGCGTTAGTAGTATTTGCCATGCAAAGCATGGCAAACAATTCCTGTTAACGCTACGGATTTAACCCTTTTGTATTGCTTCAAACAGCAAGTGAGCAGATTGGACTGAGAGGGTGAAAGATGTCCTAGAGATCCCTTCTCGATTCCTGGGCAAGGTATCAACATTGCGAGATGGCATGGTGAGTTGAAGTGAAACCCGATGCATTAGAAATGTTTGAAAGTTCTTTAGATGGGAAAAGACACCAGCGCCGAATCACATACAACGTGTAGGACTGAGACAATCCAGAAGCCACAGGGAATAGGTTTTCGTGTTTGAAGTGACAGTTGTGCATTTCCATACTTGTCTAAGCCGTCTGTCCAATTAACCGGGCATGTTCAGCTCTGTAGATTGCGAAGATCCTCCTTATTTGAGTTCTTTCCATTAACAATTCGTCAGATCTCCCGTAGTGTTACGAATGGCCACGTATTGCCTTAAAAGAGGATGCGGACAGTACACAGCACCTGAATTAACATAATACAAATGGCATAACTAGCGACATATCTCTAAAAAGTGGACAAAGCCAGAGAAGGGAAACTCAATGTCAGTGACTTCAGAATAAATTCCTTATACCTGACCACCAATTCGAGTGCTTTTTATTTAGCTAATCAACTAACCTGGACGCACAATGCCTTGCGATCTACAGTGAAGTCATGATGATCAATCATGCATTATTTATCCATTGACAGAACAATTGACACTACCCGGACTCTATGGTGGAGATACCTCAGCTTCTTTATTTCTCTCTCTGCTCCGTTCACCGCTTCTGTGCTTATCAACCAACCTCTGGGCCAATTATCTTGTACCCTTCTACCACCAAGCATGATATTGAAGAGTCAATGCTGCGAATAGAAGACTGACCAGCTGTTGATCACGAGTCTCGCCAACCGTTTCTAACGCTTGCCAATGTCCTTGAATCATCAACTGCGTCCAACTGATTGACATGGCCGCTTTGCACGTTGTTCAAGGTCAGTGACAATCCGAGCTTAGCCTTCGTGCTTTGTGTCCACCAGGAACTAGTGCCTGCAAAGTCGTATCGGTGAAAATACAGCATTTACTAAGGTGCTAAGCCAACACCATTGCCATTATTGCAGAGAGGAATCAGTGCGGTCCAAGTCGGAGGTGCTAGATGTTCCACAAATCACACGATTTGATAGCATTTGCGTTCCTTAAGTACCTCTACACAGTCAATTCTTTGCCCCATGTCGATCTACAGACACCTACTCACTACCCAGTTTCTACTGAATAAAGCATAAGTAGCGCACATTTCAGAGGATAAACACAAATTTGCCAGATTTCAGGTCTGTCGACATTCAAATGGTGACTACTTGCAAGGCTTAGCAGGCATTGTCGGCATTACTCAGGCGGTCTCGTCAACATGAATAATGAATTAATTCCTATAAAAGTCAAATAAGAGGATAGTAAGTAGTAATTATTGGGTAAATATTGTGACTAGACCCAAGTCAGCGTCCGCATGATCATCTTGGCTCTTCATCAGCCTTATGGCCGCTCTCTCACCTTCCATATGTAAGCCACTCTCGGTGTTTAGAGGACGTCTGTTAGGTTCCTGCCAAGAGAGGCAAGTCATCATCCCTGTCAAGTATTTCTGATGAAAGCACCAATTTTGAACCAAATTAATTCAGCCAATGTGTTGAGGATTGATTGTTGTTGGATCAGATTGCATTTGCTTTGCGGAATATTCTTCCATCAAAATGTACTATTTTCACCATGCGTAAGTGGGCCTGACCAAGTGTGGACTACCACCATGGGTAGGGCAAATGTTGAGATGGTTCCACATACCTTCCAACGAGTATCGTCGGTGATACCGTCATATCAGTAGTGAAGTACAAAACCTCAGTAGAGTTGAGTTTGACAATTGCTGTGTTGGTTAGTAGACGTGACAATTTCTAGACAGATACACCAGTCTGAGATCTAAGTAATGAATTGGGCAAAACATTCCAGACTACTTCATCGTTTAGTGGAAGTAGGTTAATGCTTCGGTTAGGCTATTCAAATTCGAAATAAGTAAATTGTTTGGTTAAATAAATCTTGGTGATGCGGTAGCAGAGGAGACGGTATGATGTGATCCTAAGTGGAGAGATGAAATCAGACAACCATTTCGCTCCGATGCGTAGATTGCGTGATTTACCTGCATATTGTATGGAAACGTATAACGCAGTGCATGACTTATATTTCATAAGGGGGCAACTGTGAAACACGGCAAAATTCAGTGGCTTAAGGCTTGCCATCTCAACCAATTTTATCACATAAACACTGAAAACACGAAATTCAAAGCAAGTGCATGAGCTGCATAATGCAACCACAGAAGACAAACACCTGGATGATCACAAAAACGCATTCAGCCTCATCTCCGCATCGCATTCTTGACGTTTTATTAGCGAGGTGAGGAAGACAAGTAGGTTGTCATGCCTTGCACGCGCTGTCAATAAACGAAATTGCAGTTGACAGGTCACGAATTTTGTGGTTTATAAATATAATCCACAATAATACGTGTTTCTTGGTATGTAAAATATATGCATCTACGACCATCACACTAACAAGTATTTGACCGGTGATTTGTGGCAGTTCGAAGCAATTTGCTTATTTGAAGCCGCTTCAGGTATAAAGCGGACTCTGTGAATGATCAAGGGAAAAGATTTGCTGTGAGGATAGTCAGGTGGAATATTTACTCCACGTAGTTGGAAGTCAAGTTTCTGTCTACGAGTAGGTGTAAGGATAACAAACCTCAGAGAAGCGGCATAATCGCACTGCCATTGCCAAGTATGCCTGGTGGAGCGATCTAATGTGTTCACGAATTTTTGGGGCATGAGTTAATACACGTAGACCATACCATCCTGCATTTCAGACCTCCAGCACTTCCTGAAACGAATTATTGTCGATAAGGAGACAAACAAAGGAGGATAAACAAGGAGAGCGTTGGCTATTGATGGGGTGTGCCTGTGCGGAAATGCGGATTATTTGATGAACAATGGGGTGCGAATGTGGGTGTCGGGAAGAGGAGGAGGGGGAATGTGTGGAAGGAGGGTACAACCTCTACATCAGTTGTGTGTGGTTTAGACGTACACCGTATCAATCACAGATTACGAAGCATGAGAGGCAGTTTCACCACTTAGCGGCCACAATTACCGTCATCACTCTTCCTCAATTATTTCCTACTCTGGGAAAGTGATTTACCTTTGTGTTCTGATGAGAGCTGGAGCCGCAAGACCGAAAGTGAATGCTACCAACTTCCGCTCTTGATGTGGATAATTCGGTCAGGGTTATGAACGATGAAGCCAGCAAAGGCATACAATGGCGATTCCATAAAATTCTACGTGTGACTTGAAAACAATATATGACACGCTTGTCAGGCTTTCGACCACAATTTGCTCAAAGTACAAATCATTTTGAATTTATGGAGGACCTGGAGTGCT